ATTCAGAAAACATATGTATTAAAAATATAATTTTAATTACAAATTTTGAACGATATCATGAGAATGATAATGATACCGTTTATAAACCGACATATAATACTGAAAAGGACACAATTTATGTTTTCTTTATGGATGAGTTATCACCAGGAAATTACACCTTAAATATAAAATATTTTGGTATTGCTGATAAATATTTTAGAATTTTTAATATAAAAGAAAAATCTACGTAAGTAAATAATAAATGTTTATTAATAAAAAATGTTTATTAATAAAAAAGAGTACAATATGCAATTACATAAGACATTGGAATTAATATATTATTTATGTATTAAATGCCCAAAAGTTATTATATATCGCAGAATTTAAATCTAAACGCAAACAACCTTTATATTTATTATTAGAATGTAATAGAGTCATAAAATATAATATGTGACGCATATAACATTTATACATTTTCTAAATCCCAATATTTTTATACTTGTCAAAAACGTTTCATTAATTCATGTTTTTGAAATATAGTTGGGTAGGTGCTCCGCATTTCCAAATAATAGGCGCTCGACCATTTTTTCAAAAATTGTCATGTTTGCATCTACATGATGTACGGTTAAGAGCAACCTTTAACATTTCTATAAGATGTGATAGTTGCGCGGCATTGTCAAATATACCATTGCAAAATACGAAATTAGATGAACACAATATGTTATGGATACATAACGATACCACACCTGTCATGTGGACTGATCATGTAACAATAATTGTGTCTAATTGCCTATTCCATATTGATAACGAAATCATTAAAATGTGGACCAGAATTGATGCTGTATTGGACATGGAATTTTCAAATAATGTAGCTACAAATATCACGTTATTATTTAACAAAACATGGAAGCATTCAAACAATATTTCGATGGTGTCTCATGTTGCAATTCCAAATTTCCATGACAAAGGCACAATAGTTTTTGGACTTGTTTTTTATAGGTGAGTATAAATACTTAATTACATTAAAAATAAAATTATATTAGTATGTATAATTATAAAATTTAAAATTAGGTATATATTTCGTTTCTGTAAACGTTCCAAATTATAAGAACTTACGAAAACAAATAATTTTAGTAGAATTGAGTTTATTCATAATATTAAAAAGTTAAAGTTTACTCTTTTAATACATACATAAAGGCGAAAGTATGTATGCTAAATCATACCCTGTAAGGTAAATGTTAAAACTATTATAAAGTTTAAAAGAAATGACACTTTTTTATTTATTTCAAAATATTGTTTTTTGTCAACGATATACACATTAACAGAAATTTATCGTTGTTTTATATTGTATATTAAAAAACATAAAATTTTAATTTGGTACGATTTAAATACTGATTTGCTAAAAATTGTACCCATGATTTTCTAAATCAAGCATCTAACAATAAAATTATAATATTGTAACAAAAATATACTTTTATTTTCTATAAAGTTCCCAGCATTAACATTAAATATAACTTTCAGGGAAACAGATATCATCTACGATAAAAATTTATATTCTATTGCTCACAAAATCGAAGTAGCTCAATTAGTAGGACGTAAAGTGACACAACAATGGTTTAATAATATGATGAACAATCCGTCAGTGTCTGATTTTTGGTTTAAAAAAGGTCTTATTACATTGCTTGCAACGTATGCTGTTAATAAGGTTATTCTAAATATTTTCAACGCTATCTCGCTCCCAACGTACTTCTCGCAAACGATACAAAACTTATGCATTCATATTGCAATAATTTCTTAAATCAAACACCACTTTTTTAGATATTTTTAAATTTTATAAAATCTAAAATAAAATAAATTAATCAAAAACTAGTACACATAATATTTATTAAAATAAATTTGATAAAGAGATGTCTGCAATATAATACTTTTTATTTAAAAAATATGTAATATTTCCTAATTATATTCTAACAAAATTTTAGATTTTATTAATAAAATTTTTTAATATGTGTTTTCTAAAAAAAAGTGGTCATTTTAACAATGAAGTAACGTTAATAATATATTAATATTAGTATTTAATGCAAGTATTTTAAGAACGGTTATATTGATATATTAATAATTTTTTATAGATGTATCCAGTTTATCGAATAATAAATTTATTTGTTGTTCAAAATCAACATTACTCTTTTAATTTAGATGGTGATTATCATATGTGGCCTTCTACTTCACAAGAGAACAGTTTATTGAAAATTCGCCAATCAATCAGAGGTATACGTAATATGATAAAATAGTCCATTTAAATTTTTCACAATTAATATTTTAAAATATGTGTTAAGTTAGAAGATAATTCTATATCTGGATTTTATTAAATATTTTTTTTATAAAAGTACACACACACACAAGCACGCACGCACACACGCGCGCGCGCACACACACACACACACACACACACACACAAGCACGCACGCACACGCGCGCACACACACACACACACACACACACACACACACATGCACAACAAACACGTATGTACGTTTGTGCGTATTTATGCATATTCTTTCATTAATATTTAAAGTATTTATACATATAATCAATAGACATATATGTGTGTGTATGTTATTTGCAACTAGCAACTACACTGTTTTCCTTAAAAACTATAATGGTTTTATTTTTAAAAACGTTGATTTTTCTCATTGTTTTATATTCAAAATTATTCAGCAAGAAACGTACTTATAAAACAAAATGATATACGGTGTGCTACACACACAATAAAAAACATTTTATTCTTACGCGATTATTACCTAGTCAATATACATATATATGTCACTTTTCTTTAAAAAATTACTATATTTACAAGTAACTGTTATAGCAAATATATATTTATAACATATCTTAATTATAATTTTCATGTAAATTGTAGCGCCTTTTATACTGCGCATGATGGATCACGCCTTCACTAAAAAAATATTTTGGAAAGGAATTCGCTCATATATAAATAGCACGTGAGTAATTCAATATAAAATATAATATCAAAAAAATAAAATTGTGTAACATAAATAATATTTAATAATAATAGAAGTTTCATAAAATGTCCCTTATTTTTTGGCTTCTTCTGACATTATTTCCTAATTTTTTTTTTAGTCGAACAATTTCGCTATTTTATCAGACCTGCTACTATTTTTAATATCTTTTAGTTTTATTTTTAATTTCATTATTGTGCCTATGAAAACTGTTTCTGTAGAAAGAAAAAAGAATTATTGTTTTATCATTGTCACTTTTTCATCATATCCATATACATTGTTGTTTTATTTGCTAATTATTGAGATATAAGGAGTCACTTCAGATTTCGATGACCTTGACATATGTAGTCAAAATTACTGTCCTGAGTAAATATTAAAAGGTTTTAAGCGTCGCTGTTTATAAAAAGTTATTAACAAAAAAAAGTTGAAACATATAGCAGTTATTTTGACCATTAAAAGGCAAAAAAATATTTATATAAATATCAAAAACGTTGTTTAAAATTCATTCTTCGAGCATAGGTTGGTTAGAATTAATTTTTGAAGAAGGCGGGAGTGCAAAAGGTTGGCCGAAGCCCGGCGGAGTCCCTTGCTTCTTCTTGACCCACGCGTTTACTTTATTACACGTCCAAATATACAATACATTATATATGTATGTGCATTATATGTTTGGACGCGTAATAAAATAAACGCGTTGATCAAGAAAGAGCCAAGGGCTGCGTCCCTCCCTCTGCACCACCTTTCTTTCAAAACTTATCCTGATCAACTTATGTATAAAATTCGTTCTTTGAACATGGGTTGGTTAGTTTATGGTAGCGAGTTGGGTGCAGAGGGAAAGGCTCCTGTCTTCGTCTTGACCCACGCGTTTACTATATTACGCTTTTGAACATATAATAATACATGTATGTCACAAATATTAGTTTTATTTAGTGAACCTTTTTGTTAATAACTTTTTAATAAACAATAAGTGACATTAAAACCTTTTGATACTTACTCAGAACAGTGATCTTGACAACATATGTCAATATCATCACTCTCGAATGTGGCTCCCCATATATCTCAATAATTATCTTTGATTTTTGTTTCATGAATTGTAATTTTTTAAAATAATTTATAAATTATTAGTAAACTTTTTATTTTTCCTTTTATTTCTTTATATCGTCTATAATTGTTATAATTTCTTTTCTTTTAATTGCGTTTTGTGCTACATTTGTTTTTTAATCTTATTTCATATGTTTTTAAATATCTAACACTTAATTATATCTCCTTTCCATTACTTCACCATTTTTATTTTTGTCTCTCGTAAAACAATCTCCTTTTATTATTTTTCTTATTTTCGGTTTGTCTTTAACTTCTTATTGATTTTATTTTTTCTTTTAATCATTTTATAACTCTCTCATTACTTTGCTCAAATATGATCTATATATTAATGAAATAATGGCTAAAAAAGTTAATAAAATTTTACATTTTATTAAAAATTATATTATATTCTTTATTATTTTAATAAAAATATAAGATATATATATATATATATATATATATATATATATAGAAATAATATTTCTACATACAATACAGTACAATTTTGTATTTTACTTCTTAGTATTGATTAAAATTTTTATAATATTGACATTATACAGATAATTTTAACATATTTGTAATGTTTTTTATATATTTTACATATTGTATGAATATAGCCAAATATATAGTCAAAATATTGTAAAATTTTGGGATGAAATTGTTGCTGCTGCTGAAATCCAAATTTTGCTCAACAAATAATAATAATTGGTATAAAGAAACGTATTGTCCTATCATAAAAGTAACACAAAATTATAAAGATATGAGCAAAACAAATGTATCGATACAAAATATCGGCAAATTAAAAATTGAATGCCTGTTTGTAACTTTTACTACAGAAGCGTCTCCTGATTTTAACATATTCACTCCTCATATGGTATGCTTGTCAAAAAATTTGAAATTATCATTACCAATTAATGAGGAAGGTTGGACGATATTCAATTTACAACAAATTGGTAAATATTGGCCAAGGGATTTATTTCTCGTGTTTATTTTACACACACATAATTGCAATTTTCTTATTCTCTCCTTCTCTTTTCTTTAATCTGAACTTCCGTCTCCTTTTTCTTTCTTTCCTTTAACAAAAAACATAACCTACTTTCTACTCTCTTTCGCTCTCCCCTTCCTAATCGCCCCGTCCCTCTTTCTACTCCACCTTATCCCCCTTCCAACTATCTTTAACTCTCTTCATCTCCTCGATCCTTCCTTTTCTTATTCTCTTTTCCCAATTTTTTCAAATCTCTCTTTCCTTGCACTTTTCTCTAACCACCATCCAACCAACCTCACCACCATCATCAAGCCCACATTTATCCCAATCCCACATCTCCTCATCGTCCACCCTTTCTTCAAAAATTCCTTTTTGTTCACCACTTCCTACATCTTTACAATAACCTCTCCCCCCTTCTCCTTTTCCTCCACCTCATCCTTTTCCTCTTCTTTTCTTCTTTTTTCCTCAATTTTCTTCCTCCTGTCTCTCTCTCCTTTCTTCTCCTCCGCTCTCTTCTTCATTATCTGTATTTCTTCTTCTGCCTCTACTTTCTCTTCCGTTCTTATCCTAACACTCTTCTCTTTTACTCTCTTTACCATCAATCGTATCTCTCCTCTTACCATTACATTTTCTCTCGTTTTTTTCGTAACACTTATTTCTTCTTCTTTATTCTCCTTTCTTCACCATTCTGACCATCAACTCTATACTTCTCCTTCCTCATTTCTACCCTTACATTTATCTTTTTCGATCACATTCATACCTCCTTTCTTCTTTTATCCATCTCGTAATACGTCCACCTTCCTTTACATTTTCTAATGAATATTTATGTTATGAAAAATCACTCCTCTTTACTATTTTACTCTTTTTCTCTCTTTTTTTCTCTTTTCACTATCGTCTCCTTACACCGCCTTCGCTTTCTCCGCACCTCTTAACCCTTTTTTCTTCTCTCCTCCTTCTGACCACTCCTCCTCACTATCACCACATATTACTTTACTCTCTTCACCTTCCTTTTCTTTATTGTTCTTTATCTTTTTTCAATCACATTTCCCTCTTTTCCACCTTTCTTTCTTCTTAACGCATTTCTTCACCTTTCTTCCTTTCCATTTTCTTCCTCTCCCTCCTTCATACTACAACTCTCCACCACGTCCACCAGTCTGTTCCAAAAAGTTCAATTCTCTCAGCTCCTACTCACATACATAAGTTATGACTTTTTTCTTTCTCTCTACCATCTCAATCCTATCTTCCATCATCTCCTCAGAACTGCCAAACTACGTAATCTGCATTATATATATTATTATTATATCTCTATAATATATCATTGTATATATCATATCATTATATATATTATATCTAAGATATACATAGTATATACGTATAAGATATACGCGTTTTCTAGATAACGTCATTATTTATGAATGTTATATTTTTCGAAATATTTTATTCTAATAATAGTAAAAATTATTAAAAAGATAATCATATTTATAAAATAAATAATAATAATAAGTACAGATAACTCGCAATTTTCGTAACATTACATGTCACAGGAACTATATTAGTTAGCATTAAATAATAATTATTTATGCACTAGATTCAATTTTATTTTATGATATATAACAATATCTTGCACAGTTTCATTTTCGCTACTATTTCAGCTATTTGAATGACTTTTTTATAATTAATTTTCTATATGCATTTGCATTTTATTTATAGGTATTAAATTTTTGATACATTTTCAATTTATAATATATATAAAGAAAGTATGAAACAAAAATTGAAATAAGTTCAAAAATAACTATATTAATGATAAAATTATTCAGAACAATAAGAATTGATAAAATTTATGTACTATTCGACAGGATATTATCGCGTTAACTATGATGAAGAGAATTGGCAAAGAATTACAAATTATCTACACTCTCGTAATTACAAGAAAATTCATGTTCTTAATCGTGCTCAAATTATCGATGATGCATTCAATTTAATGGTAGCAGGCCATCTCCATTCCTATATATTCTGGAACATTATATCGTATTTGCATCAAGAAGAAGATTATATAGCATGGTATCCTTTGTTTAAAGCTTTGGAATATATATGTAGTACTTTTCCAGTGTTGAAAGAAAAAATTGGATATTTTACGGTAAATATTAATAAAGAGTGATGGCGAAAAGACCTATTTATTCGCCCATTTTATAGAGTCGCATTTTGGGACCTCAAATTTCAAACTATTTTTATGTCAAATAGTACTATATGATGAGATATTAATCCCAGAGAAGTTTTAAGATAAGCATAGACACGGCTTCAGAAATACAAGCAGGTGAAAGTAATGATTTCTAGTCAAAGATGACAAACTATCACATTCGCTTCTTCATGTCTTCGGAACCGTGCCTATGCTCATCTTGAAATATTATTGCGGGATTAGGTAATGTTACTAATAGTACTACAATATTTATGATATGCCTTATTTAAAAATAAAATATGATTGATAAGTAGTTATAAAACTTTAATATCTATTAAATATTATAAACATTTCGCACAAATTAAATCATATTTTTGCGTACATTTATAATACATATATGTATATTTGCAAGTACATATATGTACGTGAATAGATAGCATTCATAAGTAAATTTGTATGTATTTTAGTTTCATAGAAAGAAAAAACTTTAAAAATCTATTGGAAAATAATAGTAAAATATAATTATTATTAAATACATTTATAATACAAACAAATAAATATATATTTAACGATTTGTAGGAAAGAATAAATAACATATTATACCATGTACTTAGAAGAATCAAATATGAAGAAATTGATGATATAGACGAACTTAGAATATGTTTACGACAAGAAGCTGCAAGATGGGCATGTCTTCTTGACTCTATCACTTGTAAGAAAGAAGCCAACAATAAATTAGAACAACATCTCCAAGATTTTACAAAACACAAGTAACTATTGTTACATATTTTTAGCCTTTCTTAATCAAATTTTCTTGTAGATATCGCCTACAATGTTTAAATAATTTGATCAAGTTATCCATATGCTAATTTTTAATTAAAAAATTTAATTTTTTTTTATGTTATAGACTTTTGCCATGGTGGAAGGAATGGACATATTGTAAAGGTTTGATGATAAATACCAACAAACCGACTTGGGAATCAGTGTATGCTATAGGTGTTGCAAAAAAAGACATTAAATTTTTAGAATACTTGGCTTGCACTGAAGATGCTGATATGATTAAAAACTATTTAAGATATAAATCTATTTTTAAAAAAGAAAATCAATATCTTCTTAACAGTTTCTTATATATTATTACGAAGCATGCGAATAATCAAATTATTCTGAAGGACATATTAAATGACATTTTTTTTAACATAAGACCAAAGTAACACAATTTTATAAATATTTTGTAAAAATATATTGTGTTTTATATATACATTTGTTTTTTCGTTTTTAGACATGTTGATGTAACTGCAGCATTAATTATTATTATTAATAACGTATATTCCGTAAATCTAACTGAGGTACAGATTTTACATATTTATATATGTATACAAAATGTGATAATAATGCAATGATAATAATTATTATTTAATATTTAAATAATTTTTTTCATTTTTTAAATCATTTAAAAAAATGGTAAAAAATAATATATTTTAGGAAATAAAGGAATACGTTATAAGATTCAAGTTACACGCAATCTTATCAATTGAGAAAATGAAAGAAAAGGTAAAAATAAATATATTATGGAAAGCGAAAAAAAAAGAAGTATTTCTATCTCTCTTATTAAATTCTGATTATTAATTTTATATTTGTTTTGTTTATTATATAATCAGTATATTGATTTTAATGTGTAAATCTTTTTTATATATATTAGGATTCCATGATGCTGAAGTCTGATAAAGTTGAAAGCAAGATATCAATTCGCAACTATCAAATTGAAAGACAGAGACAGTATTATAATAGGTTTTTCTTGTTTTGGAATTAAAAAAATTGCAACTTTGCATGCGGGGATATACTTCATATGAATAATATTTTATATTGTATGTATTATTTATTTTACTGCTTTAATTATTTATTTAGATGTAATACTATTCGATGCCTCTGTATTTACTAAACTTCATGACTTCATGTATCGAAAGTTTTTCATTTTTTTCTTTTTTTTTTTGCAAACTTGTATGAAGTAGTTGAACAATATATTATTACCTGTGTTGTCACAAGAAAATAGCCATATAATATTACAATAAATTTTACTCTTAGATATAATATAAATGTATAAATATATAAATAATATGAATATATAAATATATAAATATACTTGTTGAATGATAAATGCACCTAAATGTTTTATCTATATATTTTAAATTATTTATTAATTTGTTTTTAATTTTTTTCCATTAATTAATAAGATTATATGTTTACGTACAATATACACAAATACACACACACAGATATAACATATATATATATATATATATATATATATATATATAACGAATTAATATTAAATATTATAAAAATTTACACGCAACATATTTATATTTGTGTATTATAAAAATTTGTTTTTTTTATATTAAAAAAAATTAATATATACATGTGTGTGTGTGTGTGTGTGTGTGTGTGTATGTGCGTGTGCGTGTAAAATCATAATATTACATATTTTATAATACGTACGTGATATATAGAGATCATATTATACAATATATTAATATATATTTAATACATTATAATAATTAATAAATAATTATATATATATATAATAAGTTTGTATAACTATAAGAATTAGTAATATGTTAACGTTATATGTAAACTATTATAATTACATGTGCCATATGTTCAATAAATAAATATTTGACACATTTAATGTTATAATTAAAAATTTGTGATTAATTACCATTTTTTAGTTTATAATAAATCACATAACTCTTTCTCTCTCCCCGCCACTTTTCTACAACCATTAACCAGTCTCTCTCTCTCTCTCTCTCTCTCTCTCTCCCTCTTTGTCTCTCACATAATTTCACAAAATTATTTATATAAAATATTAATCTTACCTTATTTAATATCCAAAACAATCTAACTTGTTTAGTTAGCCTATTCTTATATCACTTTTGAATTTATGCGAGCCTAAATATTAAGTATTTATATATATTATTGTATTAAGATGAAATTATCGAAAGCGATGAATATATATTACAAGATATTACACCACTTTTGTCGTAAAAATGTTTTTCGAAATAAGTAATATGAATTTGTAAATAATGCACATTTATATGATAAATTGGCCAAAATTTGAATGTGCTTAATTAATACGAAAGTTACAAACGCAGCCGCACACGCGCTTCACACACACACACGCGCGCGCGCGCGCACGCACGCACGCACGCACACACACACACACACACACACACACACACACACACACACACACACACACACGCACACACACACATATATCGACCTCAAAAGTTTTGTTGTCCTAACATATCATATTTATCGCACGATACGCGTACAGAGAAGCGTCAGTCAACCTTTCGTGGTCTTTCGAACCATATCGTGGTAGACATATCGTGGTAGATATAACAATTGTAATAAAGCGTGTGTGAATATTACATCCCTTCAACATTGCGCATATTGCTAAAGCATTTATTTGTTGCAGGTAATTTAGAAAAAAATATAATTTTACTTAAAATATAATTTTTCCAATATAATTTTCCAATTAGGCTACTGCTCCGAAATATTGGGTAAGTCAAAATAAATTAAAGATATAAAAAATATATTTGTCTACAAATGCAAAAAAAATTTAATCATACAGTTTTATCTAAAAATAATTTTAAATAATGACTATATTATAATATTTTATAAATTGTAATGTTGAAATATTCGATCACCCCAAAAAGTTTGATATCAAATAAATTATTTCTGAAATTTAAATATACTATAATTTATATAACAGATAATTAATATTTTAATACTCACTTTTATTTGTCCTATTATTACTAAATTATTAAAATTCTATTTTCTATTTGTCATACTTATTTTTTTATAAAAAAATATTGGTGCGTATTTAAATATTTAAAATGATTTATAAGTTGTGCTGACATTGAATAGAAAAAATAACTGTAACAAGAAAGAAGAATTAAATATTAACTTTGTTATTAAAAATAATGTAGGTATATAATTAAGAAAAATGAGAAAAGTAGGACAATTGCTGTGAATTTGTATTGGACCTATCACCCTATAAGGCCGATGTATTATCAAAACTGTAAACAAATTAATTTTATTAAGTGAAAAATAAATATAAATATAACATTTAAAAATAAGTAAAATTATATTAATCATATAAGTTAGAAATAAACAGAATACTAAATATTTTACGTACAATTTTTTTTACATAAAATATTTGATATAAAACGTTCAAAACGCATATTTGTATTAAATTTAAACGCACAGACAATAGTTCATATATAGATTTAATAAGATCCATTAAAGCTGAAACGTTTATAATACACAGTTTAAGAAAAGAAATCAAACAGACTTTCGAAGGAACATAATAATGTAAACACGTGCTCTATCTCTCACCCTTTTTCTCTTGCCGCTCCTCAGTTTTTCTTATCCTTACTGTGTTCTTCTTATTTTGAATGTATACACAAGTTCAGATAACTAATTTTATATACTATAAATGTTTATATTTTAAATAATATTTTTAAATTTTAAATGCACATAATTATTTGACAATGAGATTAATTATTTAAATAAAATATAAAATATGCTGTAAATTTAATATTTCCACACGGAAAAAAAGAATTAGCTATCATAGTTAAATTTTAGCTGTCCATATATTACAACCTGAAATTTAGTTATCGTGCCTAAATTTTAGCTACAGTAACTAATATTTTTTAGCCATAGCTTAACGGAGAATGTTATAGCTAAAAAATATTAGTTGTCATAGCTAAAATTTAAGCATGATAACTAAATTTCATGTGTTATATATGGACAGCTAAAATTTAGCTAATGGTAGATAATGGTAGCTAATTTTTTTTTCCGTGTACGTTGCTGTTAATTACAATATGTGCAAAACTGAAATACATATGTATATATGCATACATATATATATATATATATATATATATATATATATAGCGAAATCAAAGATGTCGAAATGAAGAATCTTTGATTTCGCTGTGCGATTTCTCTTCCAAAAACATGAATCGAATCACCGACCGATATTGCTCTTTTTCCATTTTTCTAAAATCCGCGGACACGCCCGCTTCCACACGCGGTCAAAACAAAACTACGAGTCCGATTCGGCTGAAATTTTGACAGTAGCCGTCTACGAGAATGTATGAGTACTACACGATAGTAAAACTCTCTTGCGATACTGGCACCATCGGGCAATAAGGCTAAGTACTTATCGGACTGCCTCTA